ACCAGCGTTCGAAAAATACAAATCTATTCCTGCAGTCACAGGGTCCAGACTACATGCCGCTCGGTGAGACAACTAACTAGCACGGCCACGTAGGCCAAGACGCAACGAGGCAACTAGCTATGAATCACCAGGCGCTATGAACGGAATAAGACTTTTGCTCATGATGAGGACGTTCCTAACTTCCTAGTTCGCCGCGTCTCATGTTTCCCGTGATCTCGTCAATCGTCTCGCCGATCGTACCGTCAATCCCGTGTTCCCAAGCTTGAAATCGAGTTGGATATTTTCATTTGCCTCAGTTTCGTGCTTTTTAACTGGTGGACATGCGGTCACTTTCAATTTAGGTAACACAGTATACTATCAAATAACAATGTGCAGGGGAGAAACGGTCCAAAAACGAAGAATTTCCACAAACCTAGAGTACCAACCTGCTTAACCATTCTTTTGGACGTCCCTGTGAGTGTTTATAGTGATCGCCTGCGAAAGTGGTGGCGTCATGAGCAAGTAGAAATGGCTCCACTAATTTTAGCGTATCTGATTTCATGACAGCAGACTCGAATTCCTGAATATGAAAAGGTTTTTGTAATAATGGCAGGACAGCTACTATACCAAGGCAAGACACCAAAACACTACAAAAAATAAGAAAAATGCACATTTTTATGCAAAAGAAGAGAGCTCTCAACCATTTTGATGCACTATTTCGACGCGCAACGCAACCGTGGCGCAACCGCGTGGCATCCGATTAGAGCAGGAATGACTCACCTTGATACTGGCTAACATGCATATTGCTAAGCTTGCATAATATCGTGTGAGATCGTCGTCTTGATTCACCAATAAGAATAACCATTCCGGCAGCTGCAAAACATCATAATTGACGTTTATTCCAATGAAGGGAAGGAGTCAGTACCTTCTTTTGAATGAGCTTCTTCTTGCCCTCTGAACAGGTATACAGGGTGAGATTCGCCAAGCCAAGAGCGGCATGGCGAAGGGTCGTGGGCGTGTCCATGGCACGTTTACTGGTGATAATGATGTGATCCAAAACACCGTACTCAATCAGCCTTAATACAACCGCGATATTATTTAGTTTTCAAATGAAATTTTTTTTCTTACAATGCAAATTCGATACCACCAAAGTTCGATATGCGTGAATATTGATCCCTTGATTGATAAAAAGTTATCAAAAATCAATATGTTGAAAATACGAATGCATCATAGGATAACCCCTAAATCGCACGCGCATCACCGGGTCTTGACCCATGGGTGGTGACCCGCGCACAATAGGTACTCATCACAGAACATGATGGAACTGTCTAAGATTCTCCAAAGATAATCGCCATGTACGGATATCTCTTAACCTTAAACCGGCTATTTTTATCAACCTCGTCCGAATTCAAGCAGAGAAAACCAACATTCTCCAAAGAATTATTTCTCGAGATATCTGGCACGATTACTCAATTCATACTTTTGAAAAATGTTCTAAAGCAGCCGCTTGCGGTTGCGTCGCGGTGCTTGGATGCATGAAGATCGATATTTCGACCAGCTCTACAAGTCCATGGATAGATCCATAGATAGGCGGAGTTTATGGTTGTAGGCGTGTGCCTACACGCGACGCAACCGCTCGCTACAAAATGTGCCAATCTTGAAAACGAAGAGCTACCGAGTGCCGATCTATCGGCTAATAATCGGAGTACAAATATTTTTTAAATGAAGGGTATGATAAGTTCTGGACCTGGGAAATGAAGCTCAATCGAGGATTACTTAAAATCTTCAAGAACCCTCGACTATAAACTCACTTCATTGACGTGCTCGAACTGTGCTTGAACATGCTCTCCATGATACTCAGGCTCATCCGCTGTTGTTCAGCGTTTTTGTTCAGCTTCATCGCCATCGTGACAATCTTTTTTAGCCATCCCTGAGAAAACGTATGCTTGGGAAGTCTAGAGGGTTGCTTCAGCTGTTAGGGAAGTAACATTTCCTTCAAAGTCACCAGACTCACCTTATTCACAATGTATTCTCTGTTGTTCAACGACATGCACTCCTCCAATACTCGCCCGCAAGCTAATCGAACTGAAAACAAACTGATGAATCAGCACAATAAAGTTTGTAGAAAAAGACTCTTAAAATGCAGGAGACCGACCAGGTTCGCAGGTAGTCGGGCCAATGAATAGCCTGATGAGTGCGTCGAGGTACATCTTTTCTCTCAAGTAATCGCAAAGAGCAAATGAGAGATCGTGTGAGACTTTCGGAATCATCCATGCCTTCGTCATCACCTTCGCCACAATGGTGCAACCCTGGAGAGAATTGGGATAATCTGAGGGTCGCCATGAGTGAATTGCTTTGAGGTTGCATAATAGGCCGTGATGGTGATTACTGGCATCGAACGCACGGAACGTGGATCTAGTACTCTACCGGTTCAAAGGGAGTAAGTGAGTAAATAAGTCCCTCGCATCGCTGAGTCCATACTAAGCGGAAGCCGGAGGCGTCGCATAGCTCAAAAAAGCCGAGGTCACCATCCATAAATTACTGATCGAACACTTAGGATAGACCTAACCTTCACCTGTCAGTGCGGCTTTTCCAATGGACTCATATACAGTACCAGCCATGTTCAAAAATTCGTAAAAAGAAATCAAAAGTCAATTTGAATTGATTTTTTGGCATCCTACTGAGCTAAAGTGGTGTGACAATCCTTCTGGGATACGCCATGTACATACCGTTACAAAAAACTGTGTACTCATTAGAAGGCATATTTATTTATCACGAATCGTTGGCAGGTGCCTTTCAAGATCAGTGAAGACCTTTCAAGACCCATGCCTTCGTTCGAGGTTGGCAGAATGGCGCAAGCAAAATCAAGAAAAAAAGAATTCAAATCAAGAACCTCACTTCGATAAAAATTAAACAATCTGAATCAATTGATCAATCAATTACCTCAATGATTTGTTCATCTGTGGCCTGCATGATATTCTGGAAGGCCTTGTCAATGAAGGACTGGTACTTGGAGGTCTTCGTCTTGAGTGTGTGCATCATGAGCACCTGCTCGGTGTTGGAGTGCTTCGTGATAGGACCGCCATTGACCACAGAGTCTTGCTGAAAGAAGGAGGATGAACGTGCTTACTCAGTACTACTAAGGCTCGGGGACACTTATGTGTCCTCTTACTCGAGTAAGTCCTCCTCCGGGTTACTGCTCTAGAAGCTATATACTCACCCCTATTAATTTATGATCTTCTGGTGCATCCGACTCGGAGCAATGGGTGCTGATGGTATTACGGAAGAGGAGTCTCCGAGCGGACGGGCACCGCATCGCTGACTCAGATATGGACATGGCGATGCGGCTTAGTGGCCACGGATAGTAACCACCTACTCATTCTGCAGGAGAGGGTAATACCGCAGAGATCGCTCTGCCTGTGACGCAAGTGAAGACCCAAATCCATGTAATAAAACGGCGAGCATTTAGGTTTTGCGATATGAGCTGGTTTACCCCCCAAACCCGACAACGCCGTATTACAGCTTTCGGATTACTGTCAAGGCCATTAATAGCATGGGAGATAATCTAACATCATCCGCTGTTGGTCACTGCGAACGAGATAGAACCTTCGGGAAGACACAATCATCTATTAATCTGGTGCTTAAGGATGAAGGACGAAGTCCCTTACATTGAACGATTTCTTTTCGGGATACTTACCACATACGAACTCCACTCAGAAGGGTAGTGGCATTTTGAGTGCGTATGCAACCTACACGACCATTTGTGGTTGCTAGCTAATGTATAAGTCGGGGCTTTAATACTTCCAGAACAGTCCTTCACCACTTGGCCGACCCAGGAGGGGCGGAAGGCTCGGTTGGCTCAATCTAACCGGGATTCGAACACGTGACGTTGCGTGTGTGATAGTAAGCGACTCGACACTACACCACCTACACACATCCTATCCTTTTGTATGGGACGCTACCTGAATCAGTACTTTAGAAACCTAGTCTTTTGTCGAGGTTCTCAAAATTCTGAGAAGTATGGGTTGTCTGTTCGTCGCCAACGCCTTCCAAGTAATTTCGCTTGATTCAGGAAGCCATTCAGGTCTTCGCCACTGTTCTTCGATACTGTTGGCTGACTCGCGGGTGGAACCATGCACTGAGACCATAAGGGAGAGGGGCTGATTGAAGCGGTTACGGAAACCCGGGGTGTGGCGTATGGGATGTGGGAGCTCCAAAGATTTGTTTATCCAGCGTCATGTCACAGGCACTCTTGTATTACTTGGTTGACTTACCGCTATCAAATTGAAACGGTGCGGTGGCGTTGATCTGGAATCGGCTATCGGTGATAGGTCGTCAATGGCCACATCCATTTCTGGTCCAGCTGGCAGTGCACCGCCTGATGAACCTTCAGACTGAAATCACAACCCAATTTCATCATAACCCTACTTCACTGAATCATTAAGTAGCCCTACAGGTCTACTTGGGTCAAAAGTTTTTCATTCAATGAAATTATTTCACCTTGAACCGCCGGTACTCAGACTCTTTCCGCGATGTCTGATCATCTTGTGGGCAGGGCGTTGACAATGACTGTTGCAATCGACACTCAGACGTAGCAGTCTGAAAAGGGTTGAAGAAAAATTCAAGAATTGTCACGCTGTTTACTGAGCTGTTGGAACGTACATAAAGCACAAATCAGACACCCCACTNGCTGTCTGAAAAGGGTTGAAGAAAAACTCAAGAATTGTCACGCTGTTTACTGAGCTGTTGGAACGTACATAAAGCACAAATCAGACACCCCACTGACCACCTTGCTAACCTCAAAGCTTCCCCTGGTATCCCATCCCTCATCAGACATCACGATCACCTCAGTGAAAAAGAACTACCCGATTGTTGCCCGAAGAGGCTGAGTCACAAAAGAAAACCACTTGTAACGCCATGAGTACAGGACGGCTTTATGACGACACAGCTGAGCAACACAAAGTTCAATGGGAAACCGAGCGGTCGATTGGAATTGTAACCAGAATCGAAGTGATGACAAATAGAGATGTGATGAAATCTGAGAGGTGGAGAATCTCATCGGAATCCATAACTAAGGGATTCAATCTCGGTGGGATGAGCCGTGTACTTCACATTTAGTCATAGAAATGAGATGCGCTCTTGGCATTCATTAGGAACAGCTAGAGCTAATCTTTCTTTTGTAGATTCCCAGGTGCGGCAACCTGTACAGCTCAAAATCTAATTCTATAAAAGGATGCTTTACAAGAGGAAGTATTGATTCCTTCAGGATGCGCCATGGACTGTAGGCTCATGTTTAGATATAACATGCAGAGCTATGCAATACTTTCGTGCTACTGATCAGATCTGAACAACGAATTCTAAAACTGGAAACGACCTAACCAGCTTCAGGGTTCCTGATCTATCGAGATTCGCGACCGAAAACGATAGTCTCAACAGTCGCGCTACTACTTCACTCTTCGAGATTCCTCACTCAGAACCTTTCATCACGCTCTTTTAGGTGGAACAATCCCTTCATTTCCTTCCCTTAATCCTCTTTGTCCTTCCTATTTTTCTCCGATTTTCCACCGATACGTCGAAAAAAGTCGTAAAGTTCTCGATAATGGGTGGTCTGTCACCAAAAGTAACAATACACTGATCGAGGAATCCATGTCTCATTAATTTATTTAGGTATTTGTAAACAGCTGCCTATCCCAGTTTTCGCCCGGAACCATTCGTATACTAGCAGCGCTACCTTCCACCAGCCCTTCTTTCCTATAGATACGTTGCATATTACTCAAAGCCTCGATCATTTAAATTTACATCACACAGTTGGAAATAAAGAAAGTTCTTTTTAAAGTATCCCGCGGGAAAAACACTACGATTTCATGTCAGAAATGGTTCATAACCGGCAACTTTACTACACTTTGAACAAATTCGCAATCGGGGGGACCACTAGTGGGAATCCTACCCATACTAGGATGAGTCAGGGGGAACTATGTAGTTCATCAATAAAAATTGTGCTAAGCATGCCATAAAATGTAGCCGGAGGTAGAGTACTCCTTAGCAGCGCAATGATGCACTTGTGTGCTCGTAAACTCTCAATACAGCTTGAACTAGCCTTGGTTTTTAACCCCTAGGTTTTGCTAAGTGGCACCAGACCCACCCGGGATAATGAAAAAAATGATTGGGACACTGAATGATCCTAAAACGTTGAATCTGTCAGCATTGATTGCTTCCACGTTGGTGACGGTTGAAGTACCGGGCGGCACCGCTGCCAGACAACTAGCCAGGACAACTGTACAAGAAATGGTGCTCGGTGAGACAACTAGCTACGAAACGCCTGACAAACTGGGACTCCCACCACATTCTCACTTTAAGGAAATGAAACCAATTGAGTGCCTCTTAGTGAAGAATCTGGTCCCTCAACTTTTGAACTAAGCCAGCACAAAGAACATAGTGGGGTTCGGTCCTGCTCGTGTCTTCTGAACTTAATATAGTTGGCCGTTTGTCACTGATTGAAATAGATTATGAAGACATTGACGAGATGTTTCTTATTTTGGGCACATCTATGTTAATGAAAAATCATTATAAAATCATGCGTCAATCAAGCATAATACATGATTTACAGGCCACGTCCAATATAAACAGTTCGAACGCCTTCGCACTACGGTATCCGTTCGATTTCGAAAGTTTTTGGTGTGTTCTTCGAATGAAGGCCTCATAAATGGTGCCATAATCGCAGTAGGCCTCTCAGGGTTGCTATTGGTCAGTCCTAGCCGATTGGTAGGCGAAGCACCAATGAGGACACAGAAGATGTTACAGATCACAGCAAGAAGTGGGGACGATGTAGTGAAATTGAATTGAAACCCCATACATATGCCAGGGACACCCTCGTTCTCGCAGCGGTTTTGGGATACGGAACCCGTGGGATATCCTGGACCAAAATCAGACTGTGAGCACTCCCCATGGTAGTGAACTGGTAACATTTGGTCAAGGAAAACAAGTGTGAGGAATTGCACAGTGAAATCGGCAGGAGGGAGCCTACTTATTCCTTTTGACCTCACAGAAACACAAGGAATTCAGTTCATGGAGGAGAAGACATTGTACCGTACAACCCAAAGTTCACCACGCTCAAATTCCCACAACGGCAAGAGTAAAAATGAGAGTCCTACCTGAATTTCGACTCGTTTCCCATTTGATTCAAGATCGTGTGGGCGGAGGAGACTGTCTTCTGGTCGGAGCATTGTGGGTGTGCCACCATTGCTCAACGATACTTCCCCGTTACAGAGGTTTGATGAGCTGGCGTACTGAAAAGGTATTAGAGTTGGAAACAAAAAAGATTTGTCGCAGCAAATAACTTTACTTAATATCATAATATCATGATAGTTACAATAAAAAGAAGAGCAACGTGGTAAGGGAGGATTCTAATTCACCCAACACCTATTTAAGCCATGTTAGTAAAAAATAATGGGAATAGGTAACGAAAATCAGTTTAAATGAAATAAAAACTCAGAGAAATTGTAAAAGAAAGGTAAAAAATTTACTGTAAATAGTAACTCAAACGACAACTAAGATCTCAAAGCGATTAGGGAACATTGGGTGGGACCTTACCTGGGCTGCTTGTGAAAATGGTGGAGCGCTTTTTGGAGGAGGTGGAGGCAGAGCTATGGCCGGTGTCCGTAGGCTGGGCGAGATCGATGGAGATGAATCCGATGAGCAGATATCGTCGTCCAACTCCAACCATAAATCATTCGTCCTAAAAATTAAAAAAATTTAAATAGGTGAGTTCAAGGAATACAGAAGCAATTTATCTACAAATGATGGAAAATTATGAGGAAAAAGGGCTTCTGAACCAGTCGTCCGCTCTTTCCCTGCACGATTTGTCCTCTCGAAGCTACATTCACGATAAATTTTCCGAAATTCAATTTGAGCCACATTCAAACCGATACAAATCGTCCTCACTTCGGGGGTACAAATCGTCCGAATTGGATGATCATAAAAGCAAGTATTGATACAAACAATAAAAGTTATACATATATGTTAATAATTTTATAAATCCATGAAATACAAACAAATAATTGCGATACCTAGTTTGGTATAATACGTAAATAAAGCCAGGAGGTGCTTTGCAATCTGTTTCCGACGAAGCCATAGGACATAACCTGCCTTTCAGAGTGGGAACTGGATTGGGAAATGCGCTCAAAAACGCTTATCAGTACTTTTTGATGAGTTGCCTTTCAACAACAATCATTATCGGTCAAATGAGGTCAGTAAAATCACAATTAGTAACAAAAACCAGTTTTCTATTTACTGAAATTACATAAATAGCTATTAGCTGAGTGAAGTGCGCGGCCGCGCTCAGAAGTCATTATCAGAACAGGGTTTTGGCCGGTGGAAAGAATTTCAGAAATCAATCTCCAGGAAAAATTTCGACCCTTTCAAGCCAGTAAAGCGAAAGTCGGCTAATACAGATGGAAAGCACGCCTGGGCTGGTGGGATTTGATCTGTGGACCGTGCGCGTGTTAGCAGTGGCACTGCAACTGCTCTTTCACCACCTATTGAAATTAACAAGTTGGGACGTTCTAGTTTATTTTCTTTCTACTTCAAAGCAATGCCCGCTCAAAAATTCCACCAAGTGAAAAAGCAAAAAGCAAAAAAAAAATGGAAAATTTCAGAAAGCATGAAAAACTTCGAAGGTAGGGGTGTGGTAAATAACACACAATTCGGTAAGCAATGCTGTGTAAATGAAAAATTGAAGAGAAGCCCATAGTGCAAAAAATACAAGTTCAAAAAAGAGGAAATAAGTCTGTACTTCCCATTTTATTTTGTTCATCACCATACATTCTTATTACTTCACTAGGATACCAATCAATCTTCACCAGCTCTAAATGCTGGTGTAGAGAAAGAAGGAGAGTGGTGCAAAACAGTGCCACAGAGATCGCCTTCCTATATTTTGTCTCGATACCACATAGTTTCCTACCAGAAGGCTACCAATCGAAGCAACGAAAATGGTAGTGCTGGCAGAGCATGGCTTAACTCAACAAACGATCGGTATGAATGCATCCAAACCCCATGCACACGAAATATGCATTATACCCACCAAAATAGGGATGTGTTTTGAAATTCGCAAAACAGAATAAACAAGTAAATAATAAATAAGACAACAACGAGTATGAATTTTATTTGAATTCCTTACATCCCTCGCAGATTATTATTCAGGTTCGAGTGTAATTTTCTTCTTGAAAATTTAGTACATCAAAAATATAAAGATATTAAAGATAAAGACAAAAATACATATATAATACCCCACCCATCTACACTCTTCGTAGCCCCACATAATATTCAGAGTCTATTGTAAAGGTAAAGAGGTAAAAACACTATGATGCTGCACTCACGAAACCTGCATGGCACTCCCGAGTCATAATTAATGGGGAGATGTTAAGTAATAAATTGTAATAAATAATTCGTAAGCAAAGTGCAAAGTAGCAAAGTGCAACGAACTCAGGTGACAAACCGGTGAATCTCATGGGGTGCCTCTTTAGCCCAGAGGATCTTCCCCATCAAATGCCTTGAATTTTTTTAGGACATTCAACACTCAAATGTCTGATTCTAGGCGGGAATCATGTACATGGCGCAGTCTAGGTGAATCATCACAAAGAACCAACACCCTTCGTTTATTTCGAAAACTACGGCATTTTGTGAAGACCTATGGGGCTACTCGACACTCGACTTGTACTCGATTTTTTTTTTTTGATAACACCTTTTTCTATTCAAAGTAAATACTGACATGAAAGTGGGAATGTTCCAGTGAGTCATGATGGGAAATGTCGAGTAGATACGAGAAGCCTCTGGAAACCTTCTGGATAGAGCTTGAAGGCGTGTGTGACGAACGATTCAGAAGACTAATCCATGAAAAGCTCCTAACAACTAATCCCTCTCCGACTACGCACGAGCTAGTCATAGAACTTTCTTTGTGCAAGCTGCAAGCTTAATGATAACTCATGACTGTAGCCCGTCAACCGGTTCGCCAAGTGGTTTATACTTACAAAAAAAACTATGAACTATAAAACATGATACATAATAACCTACTAGGTTCCTGTCTCTTATTGTGCATGCTACATACACAACAAGGGATGCAGAAAGCGGGGCGTATCCTTATGAAAATCGATTGTTGCCGGCTACTTTGCCTACCCATCTTTTATGGCAGAGCAATCGCCCTTTGCATGGGGTCTTAAAAGACCTCAAAGTCTTTGTAAACTTTAATGTACTTGATAATATTAATTTTAGAAAGGAAAACATTGGTTATTTTTGTAAACAGCAACTTCCATACGTCACCTCCACTGCCTTTCAAATTCAATGGGCACCCCCTCCTGTAGACATGCCTGTCTTTTAATGGCCAGGCTATGAACTCTCGCGATTCTCCGTTTCGTTTTCATCCCAAGGGAAAATATCCAGAACAAAGAGCAACAAAATAGCGCTGTACTGCGTAGGAGGCCGTGAAGGCATATACAAATATGCTCACAAAGGCACCCAGAGATCGACACCCTCATGATCAGGTATTGTGTGAGTTGGAAAGGCTTCTCTTTCAGAAAGCCTACCATTGAAAACTGAACAAAGGCAGAGGTACACGTTTCGAGGCGCTCAGAGTTCATCATCAAGCTTATATGAACAAATAATAATAGTAAACAAATAAAAAAACCTTCCCAGAAGTTCACATACGAAGTCATTTTAGAGTCAATAAAGTGTCATTCAACAGTATGGTCAAAGTTCATCGGTTTTAAAGAACCCCGTTTAGGGCTGCGCCCCGAATTCGACCACCACTCCGAATCGTAATGGCCTATTGGATACTATGGCTTAGTAGCCTATACAATGACTTGCGGTGGCCAGCCAGTGTACGGGTTAGTGACTACATCCTTCCTGATAAACCTGGTACCAGCTCAGCGACTCTGTTGGGATGGTAAGCCTCGTCAGCCTGGGCGAGTATCGATCCGCAGTTCGATCCTCGGATCATGCGTGTGGTAATGTGCGTCACTTGCCAATTCACCATTAAACTCGATCATCAGCGGTGAAAACCAGTATTGGCAGCGTAGTGGCTACCGTGCCTCGTAGCATTATATTGCTCACAAGATCGAATCTGATTTTTAGCAATGATTCAACAACAGCATATGGTGACGTTTAACATTCCATCCTTAAATGTTAAATGTCATTTTGAAACCAGCCCACATTCTTGACAGGACATGGGAGTGGGAGGCGAGCTAGTGTCACCAGCCGGAATCCAGCCCTATTGTTCTGTTGAGCAATCATGAAGGTGAACATTGTTGAAATAACGATTAGAAGAACGAAAAAGAAAATATTTCGGGTGGCTTTAATAATAAAAACTCAGATAAAACTACATACGCCATTTTGGGAATTATTACCCTGACCTTATCTAGCCATATCGAACCTTTACAAACTTATTATAGAGAACCGGATTCCAGAAAAAAGAAACTGACCTAATCATAAGATTATGAATGTTCTTCATCCTTTTTGGCGGATTCGCTAAACAGCTTTTTAGTGGCGGTTCCAGAATGACTATAAGTCGATAACGTAATGGCTTATCTAATCTGTAAAGTAACAACGTACGGACGAGTACGAAAAGAAAAATTCCAGGCAGTTCAAGTAGAAGAATGTGGGCACGGCTTCCTATGAAGTGAAATTGAGAAGCTAGTGCGCGATTGTGCACAGGAAGGCACACATAGGATTAGTGGGAGGAGGTAAAGGAACGATCGTGAGGTACGTGGGCGGTAAACTCCGTTTCAAACTAGACTGTCTCTTCCCAGGTGTACCTTGAGCACCTTTATATCGCAGGTTGACAGATCTACGGCTCGTTTGGACATAATTGACAGCATAGGATGATTTGTGTGCACACGTCCAAGTGCACTGCCCATACCCACGCCGATGAAGATTGCAACGTCGGAAAAAAAGGATTATCCCACCCACGCCTGTCAAAATCTTTTTAGCAGGTCTGCTACACACATGACCCCGTGACCCTATCGACTTGGTGGGTAAATATCGCATTCGGGACACCCCTTGCCCGCCCCGGTATCATGGGAACGTTTTGATAATTAATTAAATTGACCCCCGAAGCGTTCCCGAATAGGAAACGTGGGAGTGAACGCGAAACATGGAATGAATCGACATGTCGTGTGGAAAATCAGCTTCAATAGGCTATTCTCGTGTAATTTAGGCGGGCCCTCCATGAGCGACATTACTCATCAAATGTATACAAATGAATAAGACGAATGAATGCGTTCCGTTCAGGACGGACAACGCAAGGGGTGTCGACGTCGATGGTGCTGCACTTCGTGTGTGATCGTTTAGTCAGCATATGGAAGAGTCCCAAATGGGGTGGCAGAATCCCAAATGCTGCTGCCGCTAGTCGACAAAGTGGTTGCCGCTGGCACCATGACAACAACTACTGACGAGGACTGCCGTTGTTGAAGACACGATAGTAGACCCCGACGATTCTTATCTCCTGGACGAATCGTACACCTTTTGAAGGTTGCACCGGGTAGTATGGAGTGTACTAACACCCAAGCCCTTGCCCCTAAAGCTGCAGAGTGCTAGGCAGACGAACCAAGCAGTATAATTACATATTCTACTGCTATTGACAGAATGAGAATTGGTTTCTAAAAATGTCCGAAGGACAAGAGAACCATGGTCGTGCTGGTGGCTATTTTTGTCCCCGAAGTTGTTTATCCATGGACCAAAACAGAGATTGTCCAACCAGATAGGTTCATTCGCATTACTACTACAAGTATTACAAGGTGAACCAACACTCAAGTAAATGATTTTGGACAGAAAGTCGAACAACATCGTACCGAAACTGGTACCGCCACATGAGGTGAGATGGCAAGACATCAAAGCTCTACTTGTTGGCAAGACATCAAAGCTCTACTTGGGTTGAAAGAGCTTACTCACAAGGGGTTTGCCATTACACTGTAGGTAATCTAATTTAGGTGCAATGTGTTTTTCGGTCGGTTAAAAAAAGAAAAGGATTCTTGGAAACTAGGAATCGATATCGAAAGTTATAAGCGTATGTTTACATAGGGACATAGAACTTGTGCTCCCAGAGACTAGGCCAGTGATCCATTCAATGGTTTCCGCTCACATGAAAAAAGGATCTAAAGACTGACACCTTGCTACGGAGATTATTTTTGAGCATAGGCAGGTTTGCGACAGCTCTCGACGAAAAGGTGATAAGGGCAGTGATATCTCTGATATTTATCTATGTCTCGGGCCTACCATAAGATAACCTCCTATCACCGAACCTCCTATTGCCTTTCAAGCTGAAGAAGGTGTTGGTGAGACATCCCTAAGCGGAGGCCGGCAAAGGAGCTTTTTTAAGGATCGAGTAAGATTTACCAAATTACGCTAGTAAATCTATAGCGCTGATACGGGTCAGCTCTGATGAAGGGAAAGAAGAGACGAATGGAAATTCGATCTTCGAGAGCATTACGAGAAAGGAAAGAGAAGCGTTTTTTCCAAAAAGGGTTCAATGAAGGAATTGAAGCCGAGGAGGCTTTTTTAAGAAAAACGAAGGACAAAAGAATCAGGCGGACGGGGAGGATATATCCCAAGTAGTAATGGAGTAAGATATGCAAAACGGACGGAGAAGGGCTCATATAGGAGGGCTCTACCCAGGACTAGAAAACTCTTTCCAATACTGTTCTCTGAATGAGTTGGGACTTGTGCCCGACGATTTTCAGAAAACGGAGGTGTGAAACGAGAGGAAAGCTTGTTCGATAAAAGGAATTCCAATTTACTGACAGGTGATACTAAGCTAGTGAATTTGACGATTGTTTGAAGAACAGACAAAGGAGTACGAGACAGTGTTGATACTCTGAGGTTCGAGGCTCTACAGTTACTCGCTTCATTAGGCCTTCCACGGATTCCGTTCCGGATTTTATTCGAAATACCTGGAAGAGGTAATGAAGCAAATCACTGCGCTGTCCCAGGACCCCGAAAGCTAGGAAGAAGTTCAATACAACTAGCAACATGCCTGAAAGTCTCCTTACATAAGCTTATCCATGCAGAAACTTTAGTCTGAAGGCGCCTTTCGGCTAGCCCATAATTCATTAGGAGAAAGTACAACCAAAACATTACTTTAATATGCAGTTAAAGAACAACTCGGAGGAACAACCCCTCCCAAAAAGTTGTGGGAGAGAAGGGCGGACAGTAATATGGGAAGGTTAGGGAAGGATACTGGAGTAAAGGCAAAATTTCTGAATTATATAGTGAATAAGACCTTGGGAAGGCTGGACAGAAAGATTTCTTTGTCGAGAAAAGTGGAGAGTAACTCATTAATAGATAAGCTGGGGTTATCAGTTCTCTTTCGGTATAGGGAGAACCCCAGATGAACAACTGGACTGAATCGCTGTAGTAAAAGGAAAACCTGACTGGCAACACGAAGAGAGGACTCTTACGGGAAGATCCTACCCAGCACTGGGAATCGATCGCTCGAAAGCCCTATCCAATTTCTGGAGAGGTCTTTTAGTACAGTAGCGTTCTATCGTTCCCTACAAAAAGTCACATCCATCCTTGGGAGAAGAGACAAAACATTGCTCATTAGCAAACCGAATTTCCTGGTTATTTTTCCCGAAAGGTTGCCAACTCATGGGTAAAAACCCTTTCTGTTAAGAATTGAGATTTTGAAAAATAATTCGAAATGCAACGATTTCATTCGGACGTGTCTAAAATGCATGGCGAAACGAATCCGTCCCGAGAAAACAGGAAATAAGGAATAAGTCGGACTCTGGAGATTAACCAATGAGAAAAGTACTTCGAGAAATGATCAATAAACCCAATCGATAATAAGTAAACATTGATCGATATGATAACGGGATGTGGAGTGATTTCTACACAAAATGGAACTACCTAGGTGAGAGAATGTGACAGAAGATAAGATTACTTCAGGGGGATGAAACTGCGTGTTTCCAAGCGGGAGATTACAGTGTGAGAATCCAATCGACACCATAGACTGGGCAGGGATGAAGATAAGAGCTTTCGGAACAGATCCTAGGAAGGTCTCATATGGCAGCATAAGTCGATCGTATTCTCCTAGATGAGAGATTAAGCCAGCAAGAATGATTGACAGGATCTCATGGGCAGGACGGTGGAAGGAAAGAAAACCAACGTGAAAGAAAAAAAATTGACACTGTATAACCGGGAAGCTTGAAATCTGCCTAGCTTTCTACATAAAACGGATGAAAAAGCGATCGAAAAAGGGAAAAATTTTGAAAAAAGCAGGAAATTCAATGGTTTCCTTCAAGGAAATCAACGATTTTGTGCGAACTCCCGCGAAGAAGTGGAATGCCGGACACTCTTATCGATGCGTTAGGTTGTTCCCACCCTTTTAGGGTTGTGAGTCATTCCTAAGTAGTTTAGTAGACGAAACCATCTAATCTACTCTCCCTTTATTAATAATGAACGGTGAATCCTCTTCAGATCAAGCGATGTGATTCTCAAGGGCCAAAAGGCAAGTTTTAAACATACAAACATACATTTACAGTACTAGGAAGACTACTGAGTTGAGGTTTGAAGAGCTAAAGGACGAGCTTTGCACCTGCTTTAAGAAGGCATCCCATAAGCTACGGTATGAGCAGAAAAGCAGAAACACCAGAAGAAAAGCTCAAAGCATGTTTTGCTTCATATCAATAATGAGATAGAGGATTAGAAGCGGGAGAAAAAACTGAAGAAATGATGACTCTCGTCTGTGAAGAGAAAAACTGGGAAGGCGAGGTGGTGGCAGTTGGAAGTTGGAGGCCCTGGGAGGAAGATCACATGGAGACAGACAGTGGGAAGCCTGTCTTACAGACACGACATGATCCATAGTCTCCTAACGTGACTGAAAATAGAATAAGCGGACAGCCGGATTGAACTCGCTTAGTGAAATTGCTCTGAAAGCAATATGGAGCCGCAGTGTTGCAGACGGCCCGGGAGAAAAGCAAATCAATACTATAGTTAATTCGAAGCGGGTAACGAACAAAGAATAAATAGCTACTCAACAGGGACGACGATGGACAAAGGGATCAGTGAAGAGTATAAGAGAGCTGTGGCGGGAGATACGCGACGGCTGGCTGATACAATGTGGATGAGATCGAAGAACTTCGTCCTGATAAAGACCTCGTCGGCGAGTGTTTTATTGTGAGAAAAGGCCATGTTTCTTGACCGGTCGCTGCTCCTTCACATACACTCGCACACGTACACCGTTGCACGGGAATCTCTGCTGAATCCTTGAGATATATCCGTGATTGTGTCCCGGACAGGGATCACAGATCACATCCTGGAGCGCCTTCTCAGCCAAGGAATGCATTTTTGGCATTAATGGGAGTCAACGATCAACGGGTGCGTCGCATTGCGTCGGCGAAAGACATAACATAATTACTGAAAAATGAGGAAAATGCGAACCATCACCGTTTCGATTTCAAAAGGAGACGGTTAGTGGTGGGGTAGGGTGGAAAGAGGGGGAGATGCGTACTCGCCGGTACGAGGACAACGATGGATGAGGCGCAGCCCCCGGGCGAAAACTCCCGAGAGAAAACAACGCAACGGCGGCGACTAATTAGGGTTTTGTGCATAATTGCTTTGCTATGCGGCTGAGCGGCGATTCAGGGGCGAAATTGGTTTGCTAAAGGACAAAATCGTTTACGGACCAACTCAACGAGGGTGTCAGTAGTGGCAGGGCTCACGCTAAGCAGCCTCTGCAGAGGTCGGGTGCAAGCTGAAGGGTAGGGAAGGACATGGCAGGGTAGTGCTAGCTGTCTGAGAGCTGATGGTTGACCACGTTGTACTGTAGTTGTTGCAGTTTAAACAACCATTTCCTCTCGCTGGTCGATTGGCAATGATGGGATCCGCTTCATTTACGAAGGCGTTTGCAGATTTGATGAAGAACAGCGAATCCCTACAGGATACTGTAGAAATTTCTACTGGATTTGAAGTGAACAAATTCACAGCCAGGTGATTTCTGGAAAACCGAGACCTCAAGAACGACTCTGAGAGCAGACGGAAGAAGTAGTAATTTCAAAATTGGCATAAGCTCAGGCATACAGAAAATTGAAGGAGAGGAGACGGCTGAATGTAGATGAGAAAATCATGGTCCTGGCCGTAGGTTGGAAGCTATTTGACTTTCGCAACTTATGGTCAGGATATCATCCCAGAAAGGCCGAGGTGATAACGGAATTCCATGGCGCTACTTCATTCCCTCTAAATAGACTTAGCAAACAGAAAGAACAGATGAACTTTCAGGCCATATAGAGCTGAAATAGGAAGTACGTGAAAAATCCCATTCGAGGAAGTGATCCAATAAAACGAAGGGGAGAGTACGTCGATGAGTGAAATGCAAGAAGTGCCTGAGACGTGTCAGCTGGAAATCGGAGGGTAGCGGTTGCCTGATCAGAGTCGAGATCAGACAAGGTCGTGAACATGGATCTACATCAGACAGGCCTAAGCTATGGATCCAGGGCTGAAAGGGTTGAAAAAGTTGCCCCACTGAAGTAGAATGAAAAAGGTGAAATCTATGAAACTAACCAAGCCAATTTGAAAAACAGAACTGTCGTTTGGCTCGCAAACTAGAAAACCCAGGGATGAAAACCCCCGAAATACGGAACAGGTAGGGCGGAAATCGGAAGTCGTCGAAAGCGTTGTAAAAAGTTCGTTAACCGCACTCTCAACTATGCCAAAGTTTGTAATAGAGGGCTCGGTCTAGCCGTTAATGAAACAAGTATGAGTGGCTAAGCCATGAAGAATATTAATAAAGGTTATAAAAGAAATTGATTAGGAAAGGAAATGTGAAGATGGGAAGATAAATGTGAAGGTTGGATTAACGAGTATTGCACGAAAACTGAACGTGTAATTGCCTTCATCGAATAAATTCTCAGTATATAGGCCTCGTACTGAATCAATTGGCCGACTTAGTCGGATTATTTCCCATCCAACGACTACGAAGCGCAAAGGTTAGAAGCTTTGCATTCTGCCCAGACTAAGGTCGTTGTATCGATTCCTCCCAAGCACTGTGAGCTTACATTTAGACTAAAAAGTCAGTCTTCCATTTTCTTGACCTCGAAGTTTTTTTTTGTGGCTCAATTAATTCCTTAATTACCTAATTTATTACAGGTAATGAGTAATTATGTGTTCTAGAGGAAATTTCAGGGGAACAGCAAAATTAATTATTTGAAAAATTAAAGTAATTACAGTTTCTAAAAATAGAAGTGCGTTGGTGTTAAAAAAAAACTAAGTGAATTGATTGCTCCCTGGTCTAAGGAGGTTACGACCGGAAATCGATCATTTGTATTGAACATACATAGCACAAAAGTTTAGGTAGCGATCAATCGATAAATCAATAAATTGAACAAACCCAGAGTTGGTGGTTGACCAGTGGGAAGCTATTGTCAGACACTCGGAGACTCTTCGTTCGGCATGAATGGAAAATGGCGTGATTTCTTCAAGTTTCAGTAGATTTGGTCTTGCTACGACTTCTTCCTCATCAATGGGTTTGTGGACGAGCTCGCTGGGTGCAGAATGTATTCCGGGACTTAGTGAACCCGTAGAAGGACTGGTTGCAGTTCGAGTTGATGACCTCAGCAGAAGCGTTCGATGTAGACATTGAGTGGCTAAGTTGGTTCGAGGTGGTGGATCTCCGAAAGTTGGGCTAAGTGGTGGTCGATTGGGAGCAGCCTGACGGGGTCGAACTTGAACAGGACCATCGGAATACGTTCGAACAATGGATGGAGAGTAGATTGGTTGCGATGGCATGACAGTAGACGACTGGTGGCCAGTGGGCGATAAGATGATATTAAATACCAGTTATCAGTTAGTTAGAAACTCAACGCCGGAAGGTCGTAAAGAGCCAGTCGCAGAATTCTTCACTCCGGATCTTTTCGTGAAGACAGTGATATGACCAGCAGGGAAGCGGAGGCTGTTCTTGTTTTGCGTCATAGATAATAATAAGTAGAAAAACTCTACGTAGACCTAGACTAGAAATGACTACGAAAACAAAATCAGGGGCACTATTACGCCTTTTACGTAATGTTTTTAATAAAAACAATTACAATTGTAGCAAACAACGTGGGCTTTCGATCGGATGGGCGGAGATGAGACAGGCACAACTTATTATTATCCAGTTAGTAGCTATCGTCATCGGTATTTGTTCGGCATATGATCCATTCCGACTGACTACTCTTCCGGGGCAGGGCTAGTGCAAGGAGGGCGTGTTTAATTACGAGGGACGGCAACCAGAATGGTTGAGAATGGGATTTACGACTAAAATTTGGATCGTCTGTCGTCTGTGTTTGAAATGTGGAAATTTTATTGCAATTACTAAAATACATACATATATTTTATATATATATATCTAATATATACTTCATTCTACTGTTCTGTGGGTGATCGTAAGGAAGTCTCAAGGGGCGGGTTTTGCTCGGGATGGGCGGGGCTCGCCATCAAGCGAGCTTTATGTCTCCATTTTTATCCAGCAATCTTTTTGATAACACAGCAGTATCAATTTTTATAAAAAATTCAATTGCATAGTTCAATCACTGGGTTTATGCAAAGTCGCGATCTATTGATAGATTTGCATTTTGACAGCCTGTCACTTCTAGAAACTCAGAAAATGTTCAAACATCCGCCAAAACATCCAAAGCCTAGCTCAATATGAGATTCTCGGAATCCGTTCACGCATTTAATGAACTCATTAGAGAGCGGGGGAGCATAACAGGGTATCCAATTAACCAGTAAGAAAGTGAATGCATTAATAAATAAAAGGATAGGGAATGAAGCCTTTCCACTTTAAGCACTTCTGCTTCTGGGATGCGCCCCGCATTCAAATTCCTTTTAGAATTGTGATGGCGTATGAGGCCCACGCTTGTGTAGACGATTAAATGATTTGTAGTGACCAGCTGATGTAAGGGTCAGTGTTTCGGGCCCTCCCAAAAGAATCTGGTACCAGATACTGACTCCGGCGGGATGAAAGGCTTGGTTGGCTTACGTGGATACCGATACCGATTTGAATCCCTGACCATTTCTGTGTGTTAGTGCGCCACTTGCCACTGCACCACCTCCTTATTACTAGGTAAATGGTCAAGTAAATAAATTAATAAGCCGATGTCTATATAACTCTTATTTTTTTTGCGTTTCTGCGGACTCCTAAGTACTGTGTCTTTTGAGCCAACCACGTCTTCCATACTTCTGAGTTTGGTAAATTGGTAGGAGAAGTAAATAGAAGAGTTGGTATAGTTGATAAGAGTTGATAGGGTAATGTTCAAAACACAAATCTGAGGCTAATCGACTAATAAAGGATAAAAGATGAAGCCTTGGGCTCCAACCAATCTCTTTTTGGGTTGCGCCCCACATTCGATTTCCATTCGGTATTGTAGTGGCGTAAAAAATGCTTATGTTGCCTGTACAATGACTCCAGGTGGCTAGCCGATGTACAAGCCAGTGCCGTGCTTTTCATCCTCCCAGACAAGATCAGCACCAATGAACTGAGCCCGGAGTGATTGAAGGCTTGGTGGCCTGGGTGAGTATAGATCCGGCTTCGATCCCCGGTCCATGCATATGTGACTAACGGGCCTCTTGCCACCATACCAGCACCGACTGGTATTTATGAAAATTTTTCAAATTCTTGAGAATAACGAAGTAGTCATGTAAGTTTTATGAATATCCGTCTGACTCATACATAAGCACGTATTTGGGGACTGATAAAATTCCTATACTGACTTATGAACATGTATGCGGAACTGATAAAATTCTCAGGTTTTCAGATAATCGGAAAAAAGGAGTATGAATAATAATTGTTATTTTTAGGCTTCTCGTCTATCGAAAGGAAAAATGGTTGAAATTCTTATGAAATAAACGCAATCAATTCAATATACTAACCATTAAGGTATATCCACATCCATACAAATACGATTGTTGAAAAAAATTCCATTAGAAAAGCTGCAGGTCATTTAGAAATAGTGTCGTAGTTCAATGTACCGCTGAGTATGTCCAGGAAAACGAAAAAATCGGAAAGAAGCCACCCAGAAGAACGGTTCTGCCAATTTTTTACATAGGTACTAAATTATTTTATACCTAAGCTCAAGAAGTAAAGCACTACCACGCAAGAAGAAGCACCTCCAGGAGATGTTCAAAGCTCTCCCAAAGTCGTTACGTACGCTGCTTTTCTTTCTTGAAACTACGATTACTCCTCGGCAGCGGAAGGGTTACTGTAGTTATGTCACGAGTTTCAATTCATCACGTAATTTGCCTTTGTTGTTTACTGAACAAAGATGAGGCTATTTACTTAACTCTCATGAGGAGGGAGACCGTACTCTGAGCAACAACGTTTGAAACTGCTAACACATTCATCTATAGGGGGGCTGTGAATTACGACAGCTGCAGAAGGAGGTCAACCACGTCTTTGAAACTACTGGGTTCGCTAAACTGGTATCAGTAGTGTGTGATATTACAGCTGTAATGAGGAAGGGTAGCCCCTTCAGGATGCGCTCACACTTCCAGTTTCCATTCAAAACCGGGTTCACATGCATACGTGGCTTATTATGAAAAACCAGTGATCCCATACTTGCAAGCCAAAATCCTTGGACCGTCACATAGACTACCGTAATACTTTTTCCTTGTCTAGAGGGGCCCAAAGTTAATCCAGAATCTATAGGATCTGAATGAAAGTTTTCCGAGAGGCATAAACCACGAAGGATCAAGCGGTCTCTCCATTTCCACCCTAACCAAGCAGCATGTACCCGTAGTCATAACTAGGTCCCTGTTGCGGAATCCTTGACCACGAATTCGCGACTCATGGGAGAGGAAGTGTCGATCGTCGGCTTTTTCCTAATAGGATTGAGTGTTCTTGCCGTTCTTACCAGTCTTCAAGTAGATATGGGAGTTGTACTTCAGGAAGTAATACAGGGACCCTACCTACGCAATCGTTTACTGTAGGGATATGTAGGACTATGTCTAGCGCCCCAACAACTTAAAACCTATCATATTAAGACTGTATAAATCTACATCAAGGCGAAAATGGCAAGCACAGGAACCAGAATAATCATGGATATTTCTTATCATTCTTGAAAATGGCCACAAATTTTAAATCTGAACTAAAAACCTTCTCTTTATTTCCTGATTACCATCAAGGGCGCACTCTGTGAGTTTATAAATATTATAATAAATAAATAAACAAGTTATAAAGTGAACAAGCACTTCACGTCTAAAATGATAAACGTTTTCGCTGAAAATGAAGAAATCAGCGAAAATTTAAAAAAAAAAGGTGTGCATTCGCAGAATTCGAAGAAGAAAAAATTTCGAAGTCTTTTCTGGACAAGCAAAAACCGGCCTTCGAGAAAGGAAATAAAAAATGCAGTCAATTCACTCAGTTTTCTTTAGCTATTCCAGAGAAAACTCGAGGACAGCACTCAAAAATCGCTGACCTTGGCAGTGGACTTCGTCTCTGGTATGTGGACACGCTAGCGTCTTGACGTGCCAATTGATTCCGCTCTTCACGAGCTTCATCGCCCATCGTTGTTTTTGCCCTCACATCCTAAAATGTTCTCCATTGAACGTCATTTGAAACCATGTGAAAGAATGAGGGATTCAGGATTACAATGCAATGGGGTGGTGGGAAAGGTATTCGGATTTATCACGTTGTAAGCTTGAGGCCGCCTCACTAGCAAGCTTCTCCTAAGTGTTAGAATGCCCACCCGACTGGTGGGGCTCGCCAAAAATCCCTTTCTTTTCCCTCTCAATACATTGAATAAATAATCAAATCTGCTTAATCTATCGTAAGTAATAAAGACCACCGCTCCAAAAAAATCCTTTCCCACCAGTTCTTAACACACTTTTTTCTTTTTTCTGTTTATTTTTTAAAATCCCTTTCCTCTCTTACTTTCGGAGTAGTATGTGTGCTACAATATCAAGAAAGTAAATAATTTCTGAGTCACTTCCCATTTATGGCCCCCTCCTTATATAGCTCGAATTCTCAGCAAATTCGTGTCCTTTACTTAAGAGTTTCAAAGGTTTAGAACGTTTTTTGAAAGTCTGATATCGTTCAAGTAGCAATTGGAATCAGCAGGACACGAAACTGTCTATGAGCCACCCAGTCGTTATAAGAAGGTGACGATAAGTTCGCCATATCTATAGCTCAGCCAGATCAAAGACGACTTCATTCAGAGGAAGATTATCCATATAAAGGCCACGTCATGAATTAAATGCTAAAGCGCTACATAATGCTAAACAGCAGTATTCCAGGCAGATTAGTCGGCTCCTTTCAAATCGGCTTCAGATTCCGAAATAAAGAAATATCTGAGGAATTCAGAAATGTGGGGAAACGAGCATGGGATTCTACATTGCTGATTGGGCAGCTTCACACGTGAGGTCATCTCGAACTCCTCTTACTCTCTGTCCATTTCTCCTTTTTAATGCTCCCTTACTCGTCAACTAGTAACTCAAAGCTTATTCTAAGCTATGTAGTTCTTCTCAGGACAACTGCCTTGAAGAATAGGGTTGAAGAAGATCCCAATTGAATAATAAAGGTGGCTATATTGGAAAAGACTCGGCTAACATCATGTTCGGTACAGGCTAACTCTAACGATCCAGTATTCTCGGCAGCGTAAAGATAACCCATCTAGGACTGCTTCTTATGAATTGTTGATGAAGCGTGAGAGGCATTGGGGGCTCTTACTGACTTACTTTACTGCTAGTCAATGAAGATGTCTGCTTTCACCGCATGACCGNGAACTCCTCCTACTCTCTGTCCATTTCTCCTT